TGCATCCAGGTTCAGGTGTATGAAGGCTGAACTTTTCCCCCCACCTTTGGACCTTGATCATGTTTTTTCTGTCATCTGTGTTTACCTCTGCTGCTGGCTAGCAGGGTTCTGGTAAATGTTCCTTGTCCCAGATAAGGGACATTTAACAATACAGGTTAAAGTAAAGAAAAATAAGTCCTGCTTCGAACTCCATTTAGCAGAGCCACTAAGCCCTCATGTGCATGTCCAAGTAGAGCATGTGGGAATATGGTAGCACTTTGGAAACCTGTCTTCTACAAGCTTGCAAAAGGAAAAGCTTGATTTCATTGTTGGCAGCTCTTTGTTTTGAAAACTCTGGACCTTGTGATTTGCCTTTTTTCCCCCTTTAATCACTTTTGCTAGGAGAAACGGATTGTAAGGGAAAAGTATTTGGGGGAGTATCTCTTTAAAAAGCCATTGTTAAATCAGAAATCTTTGTTTGAAAAATATAGACCATTTCTACCTGAGAATTTGGATTGGATTAGATGGGGCTGGATTGGAGTAATCTGGGCTGCCTAGATACTTGTGCTCAGAGGTGGGTGTTTTAATTAGAGCCGTTCTTGGGCAGCCACTCTATTTAGTGTATGTAACAGTGAGGCATTTTAAGCCTCTGTTCATTTTAAAAATGTCTGTGGGACACATTATCCAAACTTCATTCGACAAGGTTTGGTTAAGCACTGTGCGGACATTTTAAAACGCATGGGGGCTTAATGCATGCAACACTGCAGCGACTAGTGCTCTAATCAGCATGCCAATGAGCATGTGTATAGGCAGCTCCAGTATTTTGCAGGAGCCAGCCTTGCCTCTAAGGCCTACTTCTTCAATAAATTGTTTGACATGTGCCTGCTTACAAATACTTGCTTGTTTTCCCTAAAAGGGGCTCTTTAGTAGTTCTTGCTTTTAATGTGTGTTTCAGAAAGGGAATTTTTAAACCATCCCAATTCTTTTAGCAGTCCCACATCTTGCACAACATCAAGCATGCAAGTCACCTTCTTGCATTCCCACAGTCTAGACTAAACGTCGTGAAGTGGTGACGGAGGTGTCAGTGATGCTCTGGTACATGCTGAACAGGCAGTCATGCCACCTCAGTGCTGTGTCCTGCTAGATCACCCGCGAGGGGCAGTCAGGTGGAAGCAGCAATAGCTACAGAAGGTAGAAGCCTCTTCCTGGACATCCCTGCAAACCAGCTGTTCCCAGCTATCCTGCAGTTTCCACTTTTCCAGTCTTAGCTGTCCCTTTCATCTCACAAACCCGGCTGCTGTATCTTCCCTGCACAGACAGTCTTCGTCTGGCACTCCCCTACTTCCCATGTACCCTTCAGCACCCATCTGCCTGCTGTGCCCCGTTCCCCACCATTGCTTTTGAAGTGAAGCATATTGATCTTCAGTTGGAATTTATGGTCACACACAGACTTGCAAAAAATCACTGGCTCTTTAGTCAGCAAAAAAATGTTTTTTAGTACACCAGAATAATTCTTAAAACTTCTCAGAGTTGAACTACTACTGATGTGGCGTCAAGCTGAGGGAATCTTAGTGAAGACTCGTGGCCTGTAGTTTGACCTCCTTACCATATAACCTGGTTCAGAGCAAACACATTAATGACCATGAAAAAATGCCCATAACTATCTGAACCCTATCTGTATTGGTGCTTCTCCCTGTTGCTGGGTAGCTGCAATAGTGGGACATTTGAAGAAAAAGGCTGGTGCAGGTAGTAACAAGGTAATTTGTGCTTGTCCATTAGACATGCTTGGACAACCAGCTGGTGCATAGAGGGGAAAATGCATCCTCTGTCCAAGTGCTTCCCTGTGTAAATTAGTTGTATTCACCTTATCAGGTGAATCAGCTAACAGGTTTTATACGATACCTTCATGCCTAGGCTTCAACAGGTCATGTTCTGCAGTTTGCAAATAGCATTTGACAAAGTGATCTGTTGCTTATGAAGGCTCATGCATGTCTGATTCAGTTAGTCTGTAAAGTACAGCTCTGCCCCGTGTTCTGTTTGCAAATCGTGTAGGACTGAGGAGCATGGCTGCGGCCCAGTTTCAGCAGCTTTGTGGTTGTGCTTTATGCTGCTTGAAGTGTCAGATTGTTAAGTCTAGGCTGTTCCTAGTGGTTTTCAGAGCTACTCCTTGCAAGGGTGTGGATTTTGATTTACCTTGCATATTAGGGCTCGACAGTCATTTGTCCTCTGATAACAGCCATTTCTTAAGACCTCCAACGTGGTGTCTAAGGTCTGGGGTTCATAGAGCTTTTGCTTCATTAGCATCTCAGCTTGTGTCACTGGACACTTATTTCACATCCCTCCCAATTTTTAATAAGTCTGAGACATAAAGAGGTCTGACAATCTGGGCTAAGTATGTGTATTCTGTTGCACACATGTTTATTCTGTTGCATGTAATTGGGGAAACTGCACAAATGAATAGGCATTTTTGTAATGATGCCACATTCATGTAGCTTTTAAATATCCTACTGTTTAAGTGTCATTTTAATTGTACAAGTTGTCCTATAAGAAGAGATGTTGCAAATAATCGGGTGCATTTTGGTACAGAGAAATGTATCCTCATGCTCTGTTTTATTTTTCTTACTCTTGTGGGGTAGTTATATATCTTCTGTGTGGTTAGTGCTCTGCAGGGTGAGAGCGCGCGAACATGACGAGGAAGGGATTTCCCATGGCATCATCTCCCACCTCTGCACCATAGAGCCCATGAAGTAAGAGATTATGTTGACAATATGAACATTATTTTTTGTTAAGTGGAGGGTAACTAGCACAAGTTCTTTGGGAGTTGGGGTCAGTGCCCAAGAGCCTTGCACTCCAAAGAGGAAATGAGGATGTAGAAACTTTATGTATTTGTCATTCTTGTGCATATCTTGAGAACTTCAGGCGCGGCGGCAGAACTCTTCACTTCAAAGGTCTTCCAAACCAGGCCCCTTGATGTAACAACTCAGATTTGAGTTGGTCTAAGAAAAGAGATCACATTTACCCAAAGAGCCTTGTCTGCCTATGTCCTTAGACCAACACGGCTACAGCCTATCCCCTTACAACTGAGACATGAGGCTTTTTCAGAGGTTGTTTCTACGACTTTGTCTGCACCAAATTTTATTTTCCCAAGCCTTCTACCAGTGCACCTTCAACAGCACTAGCAGTAGTAAATGTCTTAGTACCCAGAAGCACCTGCCACTGCTGTTTTGTAACTGTAGCATTATCTAGATCACCGCTGAAAGCTTATATACAATACAGTGACCAAAAGTTTGATGACCAGTTGACTCTGCTTCATCTTTTATTATTGGGAGCAGTGGTGCTGTGCCACTGAAAGGAAGAATGAGACATTTGAGGGGGAAATCTCAAGTAGCTGTAACCTGTGCTTTTCTTTCATTTAGTTTTATTTTTATTAATTTTTTAGCAAAACTGCTGCTTGTTTCATCTAGTGTAGACACGGAAGATTAAGGGAATTGCCTTTTTGACTCGCAAGAGGGTGCAAAGAAATTGGAAGTAATTGCTACAATGAATATTTGGAGAACGGAGTAAAATCAGAACGTGTTTACTTGGGCATTGGCAGTCATTGTGTATATAACTGCTTATCTGGAAAAGGTCCTGCCCAGGAAGGAAATGGTTATGCGCATCTTTGAGATGTGTTCAGCTGGAAATGACTTGCCATTAGTGGGAGTTTGTTTGTTTTTTACATAAAGTAGTTGCATAGTGTGAGGGCTCTCTTTTTTCCCCTAAAGCACTGAACTTTTTTCTTTAGAAATCATTTATGAGAAAAATTGGTCTGAGATCAGATAATGGTCAATATGGAAAATTACTAGAAAGTAAAATAGAAATGGAGTAGGTCAGATATAAGTAATATGCATGTCACAAACTCGTTCAAGTATTTTACTTTGAAATACAGTGAACCCCGTTAAACTCTGGAAGTGCCCAGCCTGCACACATTTCTCGGAATAAAAAAAAAAGGGCTGGGGATATCTGGATGATGGTGATTATTCACTAGAAATGTCCCCAAAAGCCTGGGAATATTTTAAAGTACTGGTTCTCAAGCTCGGATCCATACATGTTTGTGATTGTGTAGAGCATTTTGAGAATTAAGCTTGGGGGAACAGAGTCAGAGACCATATCCGTCTAGTGAAGTACCCTTCAGAATATGAATGCTGAAGAACTACTGTTGGAGGAATGCATTTATGCATAAGAAGTTTGCCTGTCTGAGGTGGCCTTTCAAGTGTATTTCACTGAAAAAGTAAAATTATTGTCCAGTGAATATATCTAATCAAGTCAATCCTTTTCAAAAATCAAAAGCAGAGGGGTCACCCAGAGAACAGTGAGATAAATGACCTAGGTAAGGCCTGGTGACAAAGTACATCATGCAACAAAAAATTGTTTGTTTGTTGTAGTGGCAAGTGGGGAGGAAAAATCTAATGATAGTTGGGGGTGTACTGAAATAAGGATAGGTCTAGGAGAGGCTGAGAGTGAGTATTGCAAAGAGGGTGGCGGAAGCGTGAGCCGTCTGCTGGAATATCAGCATCTTGAAAAGATGAAGGACATTCTCCTCCAGGCCTTGAAAGGATATTAGACCCAAACATACTTTCAGTTTTAACATGTATGGTAAAGAGAAAGTTAGGGAGTTCCTGAATGAGAGTGGAAAGAGGGAGATTGTCAGAAGACAGTGAAAGAATCAAACTGAAACTAGCTCACTTCTGTGTAGAGTATCAACTATCATTATTCTGTAAGTTTTTTCAATGCATGAAACAATGCTAGACTTAAGGTAACAAAAATGATAACACCCCATGAAAACATGTATTTCAATTTTAAAGCAATGTAAAAATCAGATTTTTTTTTTAATGTTACAGTGTGTGTGACGCAGACCCAATACATGTTAAACCAAGTCTAGAGCAAAAGTCACAGGTGTTAATTTACTGTGACGTATTATTTGCTCAATAGCATAAGTACATTTGATCACTGAGTCTGGTTCAACTTTTACTGTTTTGCAGGTGATGAAACATTTACCAGACACCTGTTAGCTGGATGTTTAACCCTGCTAGCCAGAGCTAGATACAGAAGGACTGTCTCCAGAAGCAAAATACAGGAGAAATGCCCTGATGAAAAGGTAAGACGGTTGCACTAAGCTGCAGTGAAGAATGGGGAAGTTAGTGGTATTTTGACCAAAGTGCTGTTATGATCTGGTAATTTTTAGTTGGGAGGTCTACCCTGCATAACTTGTAGTTTTTGTTGTTGCTTCAAGTCTCTATTTTTGTTCTTCCTAATAAAGGGAAGACAGGGTTAATACTGCTTTATCCAGGCAATTTTACAAGTTGAGGAAAGAGGGGAGGGTTTTACTTTCTGAATAACTCCTGTCAACAGTAACTTTGGCAAGGCATAGGATACTGCAGACATGATTCATGACTCTGTCACCTTCTGAAAAATGGTTGTGAATAGTCGTCGTGAACCTGACCAGTTCTGTTTCACATCACTCCTGCTTGGCAAACCTGAGCAGCAGGCGTGTGCAAGCAGGGTCTTCCCAGTTTGGCAGTGCTGCCTTCTTCCCATTTGGAAGGCTTTCTTTGAAATGCTTAGGGGCTGCTAGAGACTTGTTGCCACATTTCAAAAAATGGGTATCAGTGTTTATGTCCGTGTTCCTTCATATCTTGTTGCCCATTTGAAGGGAAAATTTAGAAGTATTATATACTAATGGATATTTCTGAAAATGGTGTTTTTTATACCCTTCATTTGAAAAACTTGTCTAACTCTATCCCAACCATGCAGTTGGTCCAGTGAAGGATATCTTTCACAACCATCCTTGCCCTTCACATATATCCTTGACCAGCATAGCTACAGCATCTCTCCAGCACTTTGCAGAAACTTATGCAGCTGTCCTCTCCCACATTTTCCAAACTTGCCATGAAAAACATTCATTCTCTGTTCCTTGGAAGATTATCCCAGTCAGAATAGGATAATGAAGAAAAACCTCATATTTAACCCAATCAGATACTGCTTAGGCTTTGACAAGGACAATGGAGATCCTAACTAAATACTGAGTATTCTTAAAGGAAAATGCAGACAGGAGTGGGGAGGTGGACAGAAAGATTAAAGGACTGCCTTGCAAGATCGGGGAGTTTAAATATTTAAACATTTTAGTTGGTAAAAAAATCTTTTTCTTACCTGAAAAGACAAATAAACTGGTCTGAGTTCCAGAGGCTTCTCTGGATCCTCATGGGTTTATTTTGTTTGTTTTTCTTTTCTTTCAATTTCTGGATAAGAGTTGAAAATAGTTCTTATCAGAAAATAAAAATGAAACTTGAGTTGCTTTACTGGAAGTGTTATAACTAATATCTGTGTGATGCAGGAGTGTGGTCCCGTGATACTTCATTTATCATAAAAGGGGCAGCTTTCCCGTGTGATATGTGCCACAGCACTATTTAGTTATTTGCTGTTCTTCACTGGTAGTTTCTGAAAAGACTTGTTCTTGATGACTTTCCCAGGGTGGTACTTAATCTTGGCTGTACGGTTGAAAATGTATGTCTACTGTGCAGTTGTCTTAAGCCCCACAAGCCTCTATTTATAACATCCGAATGTTTCACGTGACGGACAATAGGTTGGTTCTGCTTTCAGTACTAAAATGAGTCCTGTATGCTTTACAAGTCTTAATCTTTTAATGTTTCTGAGAATCTTCCTTTTGCGTAACTGCCCATAAATATGAATTACACTGGTGGTGGTCCTGGTTATGCAATGAGTATCATTAAGTAGGATTTCCTAAATGTGTGTAAGAAAGCAAGGTGATAATGAAAATTAAAACTGTATATACAGTGCACTTTGTATTTACTCCTTGGCTTCCAGTATGATAAGCAAATTAGTGTTTTAGTGAGCTGTGACAGGAATATCAGCATGGCTTCTTTCCTCTCCTTAAAAAAGGATATGGATAAAGCCTGTGTAAATGGTTGATGTCTTCTTCTATGTTGGTCCATTTTAATTAAAGGCAAAATAGCAAGGCCTTTAATGTATCAAATAAAAAAAGTTATAGGTCAGTGTCATAAGTCTGTTTAGTCTCAAATTAATTTTATATTCAGTATTTTACTTGACACAAGTAGCTTTTGTTTGTATAATAGTGTGATCACTAATATTGGTATTCACTTGCAATATTGTTTTTGCATTTTATTTTTATTTAAATATTAGTAATGGAATATCGGTAGGCAGACAAAGAATAGCAGAAACAAATGCTAATTCCATACAAATTTAAAAGATCAGTAATTGTGAAGACAGTTTTATTTTTAAAAATATATATTCTTCAAACCCCCAAATCTGAAGTAATTGTTACTATAAAAAGGTATGACACAACACAGATTTGCAGAATATAAACCCAAGAAAGCAACAAGGATAAAATGTAGTTGATGTAAATGCCCATTTGGCTGAGTGAGGCCCATTGTGTGGTTGAGAAGGTTCAAAAGCTAATAAAAAGATAAAAATATTGTTCTGTGAATATATTAATGCATATGCTAAAGAATCAAAATATCTTTAAAGGGGGGGGCATTAATTGGCAAGTATGTTAATGCAAATGTTAGAGGTGATTGCAATACGCATATCAAGGAAAATTCAGTCCCCAGTATTTCATTGCATGAAATGTTGCTGAATATGAACATGGTTAAGTAACAAACTTAGCTGAAGCAAAAACTCTGAGAAGAGTCTTTCTGTCTTAAATCAATCTAGTCTTTGGTTGTTACATGAACATGATATCCTGCAACAAATCTTTGAATCCTGCACCTTCTAAATACTAATCTTTGTATGAGACTGTGAGGCTGCTGCTGAAACATAAAGCATAGACATTACTTTGTCTCTAAGACAGTGGAGTAATTAGATTTTTTTTTTGATATATGAAATAATAAAGTAAAGCAGACTTGGTCCCACCAAGGAAATGGCTTTGTGTGTGTCACGTTAGCTAGGGTAGTTCATGAGGCTGCTGATTACAGCAAGTGTCAGATTTCAAGCTAGGATAGTTCTTGGACCATGGCCAGAAAAGCACTGTTAGACTGGTGTACTAATGCCACATCTGCTATTTAATATCTTGAGAGCTAGCAAAGCTGAAACAAGATTATTATTCTGATGTGGAAGAAGGGAATCCCAGCTTTCAAGTGTCATGGCCTGGTCATTTATAACTTTGGCAGGTGACGAAATATTCTACCTTTTTAGAATCGCATCGTTCTGATAACCGTCTTTTAAAAATAGCATCACTTCTGACATACTAGTAGTTTCTGTCTTAAGCAACTGGAATTGGAAACTATTATCATCTGACATGACAGCTTGGGAATCATCCTAGCTTTTGTTTGTTGTTCTAGATCAGTGGTTTTTCAACCTTTTTTCATTTGCAGACCCCTAAAAAATTTTTGAATGAAGGTGCTAACCCCTTTAGAAATTTCAGATGGAGGTGCAGACCCCTTTGAATTGTATGTGTGGGTATTCACATACTTTTGATCATAGTTATCTTTCACAGACCCCTTAAACATAGTCTGAAGACCCCTGGAGCCTGTGCACCATAGGTTGAAAACCACTGTTATAGACCATTAATGCCCAACTCCAGTGATTCATTGGAGATTGTAGAATATATGGGAACAAGTGTTTTTTACATAGTTGGTGGCTCAGTATTATTTCCTTAGCACTAAAAGCTTGTAATTGTTTAAGGGGGAATGTATGCTATTTGACACAGTGAAATAGTTCAGATGCCATTAACATGTAGAGCTGCTTTCCCACAGGATGACGGGAAAGGCTATGAGTATGTTCTGGAACCCATAGTGCAGGGAAATGCATAGGGGAGTGACAGGAGAAAAGGAAGAGAGTAGATTTAGGCAGAAATAGTGGTGCTCTTTCCACATTTACTTGGGTTGAAAATGGAAAAGGATGCAATAGATTAGTGATGTCTTCTAAAATCTGTGTGGGGTTTGGAACATGCTGCCCCCACTACCCCAGAGCTGCTTACAGAGGGGACCTTTCACGTGTGGATCCTCCACCTCTCCGTGTGGGAGAGGGAAGCGCAGCCAGTCCCTGCCACTGTCTTTGCAAACTCCAGGGCCATGTTAAGTGTTCCCTGCATCACCTGTCTTTATATTTTAACAGGGGAAGGGGTGGAAGCTAGCTGGGTCTATGCTAGTGACGGGGTGTTGTATATGTATATAGTATGTATGGACCTTGTGTGTGTAACTTGAGGCACTTGGATCAAAATACAGAAGAATATAGGGGGAGATGGGAGGCTGATAGCGCTGTTTGAGGGCACAGTTAAGATGCTGTCTGGCACCTCAACTGTGCGTTCATAAGCTTTAGAATATTTGGGGACTATGATCTGTAAAATAATCTTAAAAAGACTGGTGGCATGAACCTCCATAAAGTCTGGCTTCTCCGAGATGCTTTATAAATATTTTCCTGAAATAAACTTCATTTTTAAAGAATTTTTCAGCAGGGGAGAAATTGACTGATTAACTGTGTGTATTTGAAACTGTACACAGGGTGTTCTCCAATGCACAAAATATCTCCAGGCAGAACAAGTAGAAGAAAATACCTTTTTGTTGCTATTTTTGAATTTTAGTAATTTTTAGGCTTTATTTATAGCTAGAAATCGTGATCTGGCAATTAGGTCCCCTTGGGTGTATTACTGTAAAGACTTGGGACTGCTTTCATTGGGATCAACTGCAGGCACACACGTGGCTGATCTGCACAAAGTGTGTTGTGGGAAAGCACGTTTTCAGATATTTTTCAAGTAGATCACATCCCTTGTTACATTTGAACTTTCGAGAGGGGGGTGTGTGCATGAATGCTTTGATAAAGATTTTTTGCCTGAAAATAATGTTCTGTTTGGAAGATTTGATACAAACACTGTTAGCACCTCGCAAAAATCAGGCGTTAACTCATTTTTTTCAGGTTGAATTCTGGCATCTATTTTAGGAATAACTAGACTGGAGAAATAGTGTTTTCTTTTAAATATAAAGTCTGAAAAATATATGTTGTTATGAACTGAACTCAAAATAGATTCATTTTTAAAACAAAGCAATTATCTTTGGTGTTAGAGAATATCAACTGTCCCCGTAAGCTTCATTTTAAAAGGTAAGGAACCACTGGCACTAAGGG